GAGAGGAAAAAAGGGGAAATCCCACTTTTGGGGTCATGCAGAGAGACCCCCCCACCATGGGCTACCGGCCCGGGGAGGCCCCTTGGAGGAAAGAAGGGGGTGGGCAACGCTGCCCCGCTCCTGCCGAAACACCGGAGCTGGCACCCCAAGTCTCCCCAGTGTTTTGGGCTGCAACGGGGCCCCGCGACAGCCCCGGCCCCCCTCACCATGCGCGTGTAGTTGTGCTGCTTGATGGCGTTGTAGCCGAAGGCCAGGGCCGCCACTGCTGTGCAGAACTCCAGGAAGCAGAAGATGACGAACACGGAATCCAGCCCGTTGCTCAGCATCTGTGAGGAGGAGAGTGGAAGGGTCCTGCAGGTCCCGCTCGCCGGCAGCACCCCTCGTCCCGCTCCGCTGCGTGGCAATCGCCCTGTTTGCTTGTCTTGCGCGGCAGTGGGAGGCTCGGCTCCACCACCTGAGCAAGACCAGGAGCCTCTACCTTGGTCTTAGCGTCGAAGCACCACTCGGCTTTCAGCTGGTACAGTGTGTTGGTCTCGCAGCCGGGGATGTCGCGAGTGATGGCTGTGGTATGGATAAGAGTGGCCACCAGCGTGCTCAGGATGACCACCATGTTGACAATGCAGCAGGTCTTCACCTGTGTGGGTCACCTCACATCAGCCATCAGCAGCTCCGTCCCTTCTGCTCCTGCCAGGAGCTGTGCAGGTGAGAGCATGACACCCACCCGGCCGGAGACCCCCTGTGAGGTGCCACAAGAGCCGAAGGAGAGGCTGCTTGGGGCTTTCTGTTTGAGCTGTCTGAGCAGGGGCATCTCCAAGCTGGATTATTCAACTTGGGTCAAGTATATTCCTGGAGAAGCCACCCAGGGCAGCCGCTCTCCAGGACACCTTTTCTCCCTGTCATCCAAGACGTGCGCTTGCAGCCCAGAAAGCCAACCGAATCCTGGGCTGCATCAAAAGAAGCATGGCCAGCAAGTCGAGGGAGGAGATTCTGCCGCTCTGCTCCGCTCTGGTGAGACCTCAGCTGGAGCCCTGCGTCCAGCCCTGGGGCCCTCAGCACAAGAGGGACATAGACCTGTTGGAGCGGGCCCAGAGGAGGCCACAAAAATGATCTGAGGGCTGGAGCACCTCTGCTATGAGGACAGAGAGAGTTGGGGTTGGGGTTGTTCAGCCTGGAGAAGAGAAGGCTGTGGGGAGACCTTATTGTGGCCTTTCAGTACTGAAAGGGGGCTGTTAGGAAGGACAGGGACAGTCTTTTTAGCAAGGCCTGTTGTGACAGGACAAGGAATAATGGTTTTAAACTAAAGAAGAATAGATTTAGACTGGATATAAGGAAGAAATTTTTTACACTGAGGGTGGTGAAGCACTGGCACAGGTTGCCCAGAGAGGCAGTGGAAGCCCCATCCCTAAAAACATCCCAGGTCAGGTTGGGCAGGGCTCTGAGCACCCTGATCTGGTTAAAGCTATCCCTGCTCACTGCAGGGGGTTGGGTTGGGTGATCTCTAAAGGTACCTTCCAACGCAAAGCATTCTATCATTCTATGACTTGCTGCACCAGGCCCCAAGTGTCTTGTGGAGGCCCTGAAGTGTGAAGGATTGCCCACCCTCTGGTTGACAGGGAGAGAGCTGGGCACCTCCCAAACAGGAGACAGGCTTTAGGTGCCTCACTGTAGACCCTGCGGGGTGAATCCAGGCTGTGGAGGGGTCCTGCCAGCCGCTGGGAGGGGCAGAATCATAGAATAGAATCATAGAATCATTTAGGTTGGAAAAGACCTTTAAGATCATCCAGTCCAATCATTAAAGAAGTCGCAGAAGCAACGGGGGGACGCTTCATCACTCCCAGCCTGGCCACAGGGGACCCCCTTACCAGCAAGATGTTATCTCTTTTTTCACTTTCCACCAGCAGAGAGCCTGAGACCAGGAGCTGCTCGGAAAACAGAGGGAGGAGGGCGTCAGCAGCAAGGCACCCCTCCCCGGCATCCATCCCGCACGTCCCGGCGCTCCTCCGACTGCGAATGGGAGTTCAGGGCTGCACGCACCCACCTTCCCTCCCCAGAGAGGACAGCCAGAAGATGTGGGTGTAAGAGGAGGCCCTGGTGATGAGGGGATCTGGCCCCTGATCCACTGAGATCCCCCTGTCCTCATCGGATGACGAGGAGGCGAAGACCCCACATCTCCCCGCTTACCATGAACCCAAGCCAGAAGAGGACCCCGCTGGCCACAGGGAGGGAAGGGGTCCCGTACTCTGACACCGTCAGGATGATCCCGAAGCAGACGTGGACGATCCCAGTGAAGATGTGGATGGTCTGGGGAAGGATGGGGGAGAGGGATCCCCCCGGTCACTCTTGGCCCAAAGCGCTGCCTGTCTGCCAGCACCGGCAAAGGATGGATATCACCGTTGCTGTTAGCCACGTCCCACCCCGATCCCACCGTCACGCTGCGTCCCGACTGCGCCCGGCGGTGCCAAGAAGGGACTCAGGACAGCTGGGTGTGCCGGCACTGGGCGCAGCGGTGTGAGCCAGCAAAGGGAGCTGGTCCCAACCGTCACCTCTGCCACAGCCAAGGGGGAGAGCCCCAAAACCCCAAGAGGGGCAGTCCCTGGGGATACTCGGTCTCCGCTTTGCCCCCACGGTGCCCCGTCCCCCTGGGACGCTGCGGTCTCACCCCCAGCGCCTTGGGCTGAGCCCTTCTGAAGCCTCTGACTTGAAATGAGGACACAGCAGGCACAGGCGACCTGGAGCTGGAGGCCAGCTGGGCCGCTCGGGGGTCTGTGGCCGGGATGACCTCCGTGATGATCCTCACGCCCCCGGAGTCGGTCACCGCGGTGGCTGCCATCGCCTGTGGGCAGAGCGGGGCTGGGGAGCCAGGGCAGACAGGGAAGCTGAAGGACCAGGCCAGCTCCCACCCTGCCCAGGAACCAGCCCATGGAACGTGTCGACATGAGCGGTGACACAAGAAGCGCTGACGTCCTCTGACAAAGATGTCCCACACCCCGTCCTGCACCCCACACCTCGCCCCCCTACCCAGGTACCTCCTTCAGCCTGGGCTTTCCCTCCTCTTCCTCCCCACGGCTGCTGTTAGCGGTCCCTTCGCTGTCCGAACCTCCCCGGGAGGTGGTGGTCGGGCAGGGACACAGTCCCGCTGCCCTTTGCTCCCTGCAGGAAGTTTGTTCATGGAAATCTCGGCAGGCCCCTCTTGCTCAACAAGGCGGCTTTGCCAACGGAGGGGAGAGAGGCTGGCGAAAACCCTGCATGCACCTGCCTGCACGGACGAGGTGGAAGGAGAGGGCGGAAAGGAGAGGGGCTTTGCAAGTCTGGGGTGGGCACCCCATCCCATGGCTTTGCTGGACGCTTGTCCCTTGGGATTCTCCGAGGAGGAGATCCGTCCCCTTGCTCAGTCTTGGGCGAGTTTTTTCCATCCCCTCTTGTGGGTGCTTTGCTCGGGCATCATCATCTCCGCAATTAGCCATGTGCCAGCCCTGGCGGGGTCCTAACGAGGTGCTCGGAGATTTATTTGGCTGCCTTTGTTAGGGCCACTACGAGACAGCCAGGCCTGGCAGTTTCTTTTACAGGGAAATGGCCTCAAGCTGCGTCAGGGGAGGTGTAGACTGAATATTAGGAAAAATTTCTTCATGGAAAGGGTGATCAAGCGTTGGAAGAGGCTGCACAGAGAGGTGGTGGAGTCCCCATCCCTGGAGGGGTTCAAAAAACGGGTAGATGTGGCATTTTGGGCCATGGTTTAGTGGGCATGGGGGTGTTGGGTTGATGGTTGGGCTGAGGATCTTAGAGATCCTTTCCAACCTTAATGATTCCTAGTTTTACTTTCATTAAAAAATAATGCAACCACCAAGCCAGGAAACATGAAATTGCTGCTCTACCCTTAATTGGTTTAGTGGTGGACTTGGCAGTGTTAGGTTACTGGTTGGACTGGATGATCTTAAAGGTCTTTTCCAACCTAAACAATTCTAGGATTCTATGATTCTATGAAATAAAAGGAGTGAAACAGGACACAGCACAAACATTATAAACCCTGTTAGTCTACAAAGGTCCCAGGGAAGCTCCTTTATTGCCTTTTTATTTTCTTTGGGGTCCTCCTTCCTTCACGAGCGCCTCGACCCTGTGGGTCTGTCCCCAGTGAGGACAGCCCACCCGCAGGAGCGAGCCGGCGGGGGCGGCAGCACGGCGTGCAACGGCACGGGCCCGGCGGGAGCAGAAGGGAAAGGAGATGCGGTTGTTTCCGATAGGAAATGAGAGCTCAGCCTGGGAACGGAGCCACCGCACATGGCGAGGAGCTCCCGAGGGGCAAGCTCGGAGGCCGCTTCCTCCCT